AAACACGACATTAAATTAAGTATTATTTATGTCGACTCGCGAAAACCGAAGAAAATATTGTAAGCACATAATATACATACTGTATACATATATGTTCCCATTCTGCCAGTAACTGTACTGAGATCTTAGAACTTATATCTCGAGGTGGGTGGCGCATTTACGTTGTAAATGTCTATGGGCTCCAGTAACCACTTAACACCAGGTGGGCTGTGAGCTCGTCCATCATTCTAAGCAATAAAAAAAAAGTCTTTTTGACATTATTCTGTGCAGTGATTTCAATCGCAATGTGCTAACGCAATATACGAGACATGTGATTATGTAAATGTAGAGTGTATTGAAACAATCGTAAAGGAATCCCACTGATGATACGTTGCGAAGTAAGCTCACGACTGCTAACCTGTTTACGTGTGAGTTGGAGAACATGTCGTTTGAGTACAAGAATACGTAACACATTAGGATAATGTCATATGTTTATACAATGCTCGGTCTCTCTGGTTTCATGCCCTTTTTTCTTGTAGTATTAATTAAAAATATTCTTAATCCTGTGATTATGGCTCATTTATTTAAGTGATTATCTAAGCTCACTTACTGTGTCACAACGTGAATGGAGCCACCCAAATCTCAAATGCTTAGTGTAACGGCTGCTCAACTCTTAAAATCCAAATACATAACTGTTTAGCAGCAAAAACAGACAGAGTGGTAGTACCTAACCGTACGAGCTCACCAAACGCCCTGTCTTTAGTTATATTTCTTCCGGGTTTAATTTTTATTACACGATGTTTTCCCTTCAGCGTGACAGTCATAAGTAAGCATGTATCAACACGTATTTCATTAGAAAAAACTGTATTTAATATTATTTTCATTAAACAATCTAGTGACTCTAATGCTATGTTTATATAATTCCGTTCTATTTCCTCCACGAAACAACCGTATTCTAAGATATGCATCTGCCAACATTTCGTTGTTCCTAAATTACCAGGAACAATGGAAACCCTAATAAAATTTGACACAATTTCACAGGCCATTTCGGGTGCTCTTATCAAGCAGGTTGCTTTGATACTGTTACGCGAAAATTGTTATACTCGGTATATTAGGAACGTACCTGTTTCGAATAAATTTAATTTAAAATAATATTTTAATTTGAGGTTAGATTTAAATTTTTTATTGAATGAGTCATTCTATATGTTAAAACTAATGAATTTTAATAATAGCTTTTAAAATCTGTTTTGTTTTAGATAGGCAATGCTTCCAGAATATTTAACGTTAGGTGCTTACGAAATTCCATAGACACATATATTTGCGTAATTACAGGTGATAAGTGTCGGTAGAGCCGCACTCCATAATTATGCAGCAAAGCAATTACGTGTTCTGAATTAGTAGGATAGCCCCTATTCTAGTGCAATGAGACTTCGATCTGCCATTTTAAGGCCCGCGGTAAAACTAGCGTGTATTCCACAGGTACAGACAATCAAACTGTTATAATATATGTGCAGTTACCAACTTATTTCTTAAATGATAGGCACGTGTAAATTGCTCGGAATGTGTTAGTTTGTGTATTTTTATACCCGTAAAGGCACGCCCATAATTATATTAAAATTATTTTTACATCTTAAATACTACCTAATACAATATCGATATCGACCAGTACAGGAAAATACTAGATATACACACCTGTTTACAAATTCCTCTCTCGTCATTTGCCTACTTTCAGCTACTACCGGTGTGGTTGAGGGCCCGGAACACTAATTACCGTCCATGTCCGATGTTCAGATAAGGGTATAATTACATCTTCCGCGTTGTACAGTCGAAGGGAAAATTGTTACTTTAAAATTAAATATTCGTCTATCGTATTTAGCGAATGGTCATACTAAGGTTGGGTGAGATTTCACAGGTTCTGTTCTGCTTAAGACTTGAGACTAAAGAGTTCGGACATATCGTGGATATCTCAATAGTGGTTTACAACGACTGCTCCACTCTTTGAAACGGTAAGCACGAATCTTTCATGCCGGAAGTAGGCAGGGCGGTGGTGCCGGCATTATGTATCGCCGTTAACCACTTAACACCAATTTGGCCTGGAGCTTGTTCAGCCGTCTGACAAACAAGACTTTTGCTTTACGTGCAATCGGAAAATAAATTGCAATTAATATTATTTAAGACTTCCGTTGCTGTCTGTACCCAGTAACCCTTCGTTACAGAAAATTGACAAGATCCGAATTCGACCCGATGTAATTTTGATTCAAAACTTATCTTTACTTTGTTTGATATCGAAATGGCTCGTATATGACGTCGACACATGACATCGGTTCTTATTTGTGATCACAGGGTCTGTCAATAGAGTCTCTCTTGTTATTTATTAAAAAAACACTATATTTTCATTTCATATTCACTTCATTTATTCACAGTGGGTTTAATAAAAAATGGAATTGTAACAATATACGTATATAGTGAATTAAAAAATATAAATAAATTTGTCGACATATGAATGTTTTAGTATGTTTAGAGCAATTCTAAACATGAAGTTTGTATAACAATTTTTTGAATTCTGAAATAGAATAATAATTTTGACAACACAGTCATTGTAAGTCAATCATAAATTCAGGTCGTACGTGCACGTGTTGTAACTACATTAAAATAAAATAAAAATAACCTTCTCTCTGAATATATCGAATTATTGAAGCGACCAGCACAACATTACAGTCCACGCTCTACACATTAATCATATGAGAAGACTTCAGAAATTAATAATGATATTGTTATCTAAATGATAGGTTTATTTATTTGTTAGTTCCGCAGCCGCGGATTAATCACATATATTTAATGATAGGGAAAACGGCCACGCATTCTATCTGAAGCAAAATGGTCACCAAAGATCCTAAAATCAAAATAGTTTTTGAAGTTATACTTCTTTAGGCGCGTTATGAAAAATTGATGAGAGTGAAATTTTACGCTGCGCGTGACACAAAATTAACAGAAAGGAAGTTGCCCACAAGTGCTCCAATACAATTGAGGTTAACTATCCGTATGTATTTAATATAATTCATACTAAATATTATTAAATTATTAACGTTAAATATTTATTATTAATTATTTAATATTTAAAAAAAATTGTTTAATAAAAATAAAGTATAACTTCTTACGCGCGTACATAAGTACACGCACCCTTTTTTTTATCCAGGTAGGACTTTACGGGTGCTTTTAAAACGTCATAATTTTATGAAGAGCCGAGATTTAGTTCCGTCTCTCATGAGATGGAACGACGTGAAACTGATGGTTCTTTCTCTTTCAAATTCAGGGGTAATCTTCCTATAACACGGTAGCTATCCTATAACACGGTACCTACAAAGTCCCGTGTTGTGCGAAACCGTGTTATATGAGCAGTACAAAAAGGAGGGAGTTTTTTTGTATAAAACATTTAAAATATGCCTGTATGTATTTTAGATGTAAAAATAAGCAGTGAAATTTCGGTTTTTTCCATATATCGTGTGTTCATAGTGCATAATGTAATTTTCTACATAATTTTAAACAAAAATCTCATTATCGTGTTGTAAGAGTACCGTGTTATAAGAGGGTTTTGGGGAGTGGAACCGTGTTTTAAAATACCGTGTTATAGGTGGGCTACCTTCATATGAGTGTACATTACCGTAATATACAAAATATTAACACATTAGTATATCAAACTCACAAATTCTTATTTAGTATTATGTATAATGAATGATCAAACATACATATTGTTGTAAAATCGTATGACTACGTGTGTCATTGTTTGAAGATAAAAATAAATAACACAAGTGAAACCGAGAGCCGCTTCTAGTGTAGCATGACTTGGACCAAGCTTGCCATCGGAGAGAAGGGTTAGTAAAGTGCCCTTGATTTTATTAGCGTTCGTGATTTATGGTGACCAATTATTGTGTTTTTAGTTTTATTTCATTGTACACTCGCATAGGCAATTTTAGTGTTCCGTCAATAAAATGATCATTATAATTTGACGTCAGTGTCTTCGTTTGTTACAAATCCATTTTTTTAGATAGGCAGCTCACTATCCTCCTTGTGTTAAGTAAGCGTAGACCAAAGATATCATAACTTGAATGCCGTCACAAATCTTGAAGTCTAAGTCTCTATTGTATATAAATATATTGACTCTGAAAGCTTTAAACCTACGACTCGCTTAGTTAAGTAACGATAGGTTATATTTTGGAGTGTTTAGTGTTTTTTTTTATATGAAGGAACGATAAACTTATGACATAATAATAATATAATATATATTGCAGATACAAATCGCGCTCTACCAGCTCTAAAATTTAAAATCTGTCGTGAATATAGAGTTTTTGTTAATAAAACATCTTGATAAATGCCCTCGTATACAATGGGTAGAGAACATGAATTAGACGCAGGTAGAGTATGGCGATCTATACAATCAACTCTATGTAGAGGTCTCGTTCGAAGGGGATCGTTGCTGTGGAATTTTGTGTTTGTGTTTGCGGTAATTAAATTAATTTCGTTTTGTTAGACTTATGTGTTTAAATTAAGCGAGAATTTTCCGGGAAGCACATTGTGGTGAATCAATAAATAACGTTAAAAATATAGGTAAATTTAACATATCGATGTTGCTTGTTAAGTGTAATCTGTGTTGATGTAACACAAATTATAGTTGAAAACACAAACCCGTCAGTCTTGTTTGAAGAATGTTAATTATCTTTATCATAACGTCAACATTTAAACCGTCGTAACGTATTATGTGAGTCTTGATAAAAACAAGCAACTAATCACAACAATTTGTAGTCGATCGGTCGGGGGAGACAGCGGGCCGCGACTGATACACATACGTCAATTCACACTAATAAAATAGAACAATCAACGGACATATTAATACGATCGCGGGCTATTATTAAAACGAGGAACTTTCACTAATAACGTGTAAAAAAAGTCGGAGCGCACACCGGAGTGCGAGTACAAAAGCTCCGGTCGGAAAGCTCCGCTCCCCGCCAGTTGTGCGGCGAACGTGGATCGGATCGCACGTGCCGCCCTCTGTAGCGAGTGCCGCGAACTTGTCGCGAGTGTAAGTGTAAGTGAGCGATGGCAGCTCTGGTGTCGGCGCTGCTGCTGGCGGTGATGCTGGCTGCCGCGGTGGCCACCCCACCGGACCCCTGCTACGAGGAGTCGCGCCCTCGGAGGTGCATCCCCGATTTCGTGAATGCTGCTTTCGGTGCCCCCGTGATCGCGTCTTCAGCGTGCGGCCGCCGCGGGCCCGAGAACCTGTGCGACCCTCCACTCGACCAGTCTCCGGAGCTGGCTTGCAGGGTGTGCGACGCGGCTCGGCCTGACCGCCGCCACCCGTCGCTTTATCTCACAGACCTCAACAACCCCAATAACATAACGTGTTGGCGCTCGGCCGCTCTCATGCCTGCCTCGTACGACTCACCTCCCGACAATGTGTCGCTGACCCTCTCCCTCGGGAAGAAATATGAGTTGACGTACATCAGCCTACAGTTCTGTCCGAAGTCTGCCCGACCAGACTCAGTGGCGATCTACAAGAGTGCAGATTACGGGCTCAACTGGCAACCTTTCCAGTTTTACTCGAGTCAGTGTCGGCGGGTGTACGGCCGGCCCAACAAGGCCACGGTGACCGCCGCGAACGAGCAGGAGGCGAGGTGCTCCGACACCCACCGTCTGGCCGGCGACAGTGCAGGAGGTGCGAGACTTGCATTTAGTACCCTAGAGGGTCGACCCAGCGCGGCCAACTTCGACCTCTCCCCTGTGCTTCAGGACTGGGTGACCGCGACAGACGTGAGAGTCGTGTTTAATCGCTTGCACATGGTGAACGAAGGCGACGAGATAGATTTGAAGAAGCAGGCGGCTCCTGGCACACAGCACTACGCGGTATCTGATTTCGCCGTCGGGGGTCGGTGCAAGTGCAACGGGCACGCGTCGCGCTGCATCCCGATGAAGGAAGGAGAGGGCTCCAGCGCTGGTGGAGTGGTGCAACTGGCCTGCGACTGCAAGCACAACACCGCCGGTAGAGATTGCGAGAGATGCAAGCCGTTCCACTTCGACCGACCCTGGGGCCGCGCGACCGCCCGAGACGCCAACGAATGTAAAGGTCAGTCTAATGTTTATCACGGAATCCCAAAAATGTAGTTATTTGGATATCGAAGACCAAAGGTATGACAATATATACTTATAACTATACTGAGACCTTAGAACTTATATTTTTTTTTATTGCTTAGATTGGAGGACGAGCTCACAGCCCACCTGGTGTTAAGTAGTTACGGGAACCCATAGACATCTACGACGTAAATGCGCCACCCATCTTGAGATATAAGTTCTAAGGTCTCAAGTATAGTTACAACGGCTCCTCCACCCTTCAAGCCGAAACGCATTACTGCTTCACGGCAGAAATAGGCAGGGTGGTGGTACCCACCTGCGCGGACTCACAAGAGGTCCTACCACCAGAATAAAAGTATCTTAATTGAATAACGACTGTACCACCCTTCAAACTGGATCGCAGCTTAAGCATTAACGGAAGGGATGCCTTGCAGTAGAAATAGGATTACCTTATAGACACCTAGCTATCCGCAGGGGCTAACAACTCGCCTTACCGTCGTATTAACGAAGTAAACAGTTAAAAAGTAATATTTAAGTTTCATCATAATACTACTCATATATTAGCTTCTATGGTTGTGAATGTTTCCTCCGAATTGAATCTCTAGGTTGACGAGTAGCTTGTCAGTCACGCTACTAGATTCTAGGTACACATTATTTATGGACTCCAACAATAGATCAAACGTATCGTCTCCTCCGACCGCAACTGGCGAGATTTTTGCCCGTTGTATTGTTCGCAGTTTCGTTGCAATATTTATGAGTTACGTTGACCAGTTATTTTACGTGTCTCGTTTTCACGATTTATAGTTCTATAAAAGAGTTATTTATACGTTTAGTTGTGTTCCGTGTTGCAATCGAGCCATTCTTGTTTAATGAACATTAACATCTGGGAACGGAATTTTTAATTCGTTTTCCAGGCTGAGCTCTCTGGTCGTGGTTTCGCATAGCATTTAAAAAAAACAAAAATTATTGCTTATATGGGTGGACGAGCTCACAGCCCACCTGGTGTTAAATGGTTACTGGAGCTTATAGACATCTACAACGTAAAGGCACCACCCACCTTGAGATATAAGCTCTGAGGTCTCATGTATAGTTACAACGGCTGCCCCGCCCTTCGAACCGAAACGCATTAAACGCATTACTGGCAAAAATAGGCGAGGTGGTGTTACCTGCCCACGCGAACTCACAAGACCTCCTACCACTAGTCACCAGTCAGTCAATCAGCATTCTGATTTATTAATAATTACTACCTACATGTGTCGTAGTACCTTAATCTGACCATAAACGGACTCGCTGGAGCTGTTGTTATCGCTTCTGACTGTTACGGCAGGGTCGTGGGTTCGATTCCCACATCGGGCAAAAGTTCGTTTGATGAACATGTTTGTTTGCTCTTTGTCTGGGTGTTTATTAGTTATCTATACATTTATTTTTTAAACGTATATAAATATGTCAGTCTCAGGTACAAGGAACACAAGGAATCCTAATTTGCGGTCCGGTAATCGCGCGTGATTTGTTCCCAGTTAATAATATTTATTAATATGCTTTGTATTTATTGCGATCTAAAATTGAAAGACTTATACGTTTAGTGTAACCGAAACTGTTCTAAGTTAACAATTATAGTTTTAATAAGGCCTTAAAAAATTTTGCACTAACTTTAATGCGAAGACACAGGTTAAGACGGGCGAGGACGTTTTGTTCTAAAGTTATTTAACGGCAATAAGTTTGTCATTTACAACTGTCAAAAACAAAGTGACTCGAAATGTTTAGTCTTTTCCCGCCTGATTCATTTATGACACAAAAGATCTATTGAAAATGTTGCGTGGACAAGTCTTGTCTTGCCCGATGTTAAGCGGTTAGTTAGTTGAGTCTAATATGTAGTGAATGTTGACGTAGACTTTGACACGCGAATCAGTCTAAATTCTTATTTGAATCGCAAAAAAAAGATTATCATCTGATGTTTTTCCTCACTCATTGATACGTAATAATGATTACGCCTTAATTTAGCTACAAAAACGAAAGAAAAATAATTGTAGACCGCTTTTTTTAAAGCCATCAACGTGGTTTATTGTTATGTAAAAAAAATGGAAACAGTTTTTTTTTCGTCTTAACTGCAAATAAGTCAATAATCAAACAAAAGAGAAAATGTAATATATAACTCATTACTAACATACCACATAACTACATTTAAGACTCAACAAAATACATCTTGAGATGTTGGGAATAATCGTCGACCACTGTGCGAATCTTATTTGTGTTACCTCTCAATTTTATCTCAATTTATTGGGTTTGGATGGAGTTTTGCCTACGGCCTGTGAGTTTGCATTGACGCTGGTCGCTCCGTTTTGCCTATTTCTAACGCGAAGCAATAGATTCTGAACGCATCTTTCGATGTGGGTGATTCCATTTATTTTGACGCGTGTAATTCAAGTAACCACTTTCGGCGGGTTAGGCCACAAGAGGCGTTAATTTTATTGCCCATTATTCTATTACAGTAACATTAATAAATATACTATGTGCGATAAGTATAACGATAAGTATTGTTTAAATGAATGAAGGAACTGTATGTTAAACAAAACATAGATTAGAATTACAATCCGGAACTCTAGAACAATGGTCTCTCGAAAGCACCAAGCGGTTCCGTATTCAATAATCTGAAGTAATTCCAGTACGAATATTATGTTTGTGCAGCTTAAGACGCACAAAGATGTGAGCAGAACTTCCGAAAGCTTTTTGATTGTACATCTTTTTTATGATCAACTGATTGTGAGTGATCAATGCTGTTTATGGACATCGGCATTGCTAACTGCTAGTCAAAAGTTTTCAAGCTACACTCTAGACTTTAATAATGCGTGTTAGATTTTTTAGCTAACAGTAGGGCGTCTTACGATAAAGGTACCTCAATGCAACTAATTTTGCCGTAATGGAGTAATGCATTTCGGTTTGAAGGGTGGAGCAGCTGTTGTACTGTAAAATTTAGACTTCGAATTTAAGTTTCAAGGTGGGTGGCAAGATTTACGTTGTCGATGTCTATGGGCTCCATTTACCCGCAGATGGACCTGGAAAGACAGTGAATAACGAAGGGTGATTCTAGAAAAGATGTAAGTATCGAATATGTAATAATCGAAGAAGGATATACAGGTACATATTATGTTGCGTTGTCGCGATTGAGCTTGGACTGTATTTATTGTTTTTAGATATTTATTTTACCCTTAAAAACAACAGACCAATTTAAAGACTGAATATCAGAGAAATATAAAATTGATGCGTTGAAAGAGAAAGAGTGTAATGGTGGACGTCGCTCTTTTGTTATTATTTTGTTATGATCAACATCATCCTATAGGGACCTGTTTTTTTCCCTACCTATGCTGATAGCCTTGAGCGGCTATTTCAGCCTGACATTTTGACGTTCAGAATCTGAACAACAATCCTTTAGTGTAGTTGTAGCTGTCTTACTTGGTCATGAATAGAACGTATTTATTATTACAACCAGTGCTACGATTTAATTCCTTCTTTATTATTGTTATGTTATTATTTCCGACGTTTCGTGTATAGTTCACAGTTGTCGCGGTCGTGACGATCGTAAAACAATAAAATTACAATATTAAGTGCGAGATTAAATCGAGAAATAAATGTTCAATATGTCTACGAATATTAATGTTTTTATTATTTTTTTATTGGCCTTGTAGGCAGACGAGCATACGGCCCACCTGATGGTGAGTGGTTACCGTCGCCCATGGACTTCAGCAATGCCAGGGGCAGAGCCAAGCCACTGTCTACCATATAGAGACGCGAATCGAATAGAGACGCGCGAAGAAAATACAAGAGTTCATTTTTGTAAAAAATATCATAGTATACTATGGTTACTATTCTGTGGGCGACATGCCATAGTCCATCTAGTGTATTTATATTTTATACTAGCGGTAGGACGTGTTGTGAGTCCGCACGGGTAGGTACCACCGCCCTGTCTATTTCTGCCGTGAAACAGTAATGCGTTTCGGTTTGAAGGGTGGGGCAGCCGTTGTACTGTAAAAACTGAGACCTTAGAACTTATATATCGAGGTGGGTGGCGGCATTTACGTTGTAGATGTCTATGGGTTCCAGTATTCTCTTAATGGTGGGCTTGAGCTCGTTCTTACATCTAAGCAATAAAAAAATAAAAACAACTTTGTGAGGTTAAATTGCACGCCGTATCGACTGTCTGACAGTGCCAACAGTTTGGTTGTATCTGAAGCATTGCTGATTCCCGTGAGCCGCAACTACGATTCACTAACACTTAACAGACTGGCGATCGCTCACTTGCCATCAAAGGCAATAAAAATCACTACGCTATATTAGAAATTCCTACTGACATTCTGTATCATTTCGGAACCACAATGTACGACTAACAAACTCTCTCGTACGATAATAAGCGGTCGCCCACGCGCGTCGCCGCTATGATTTGTGACCGCGCTCATCGTGTACTGTCATAAATTTCCGAACTAATATATTTTTAATGTATTTCGAAGGCTTTTTGTTTGTTTTTCGGCATTTCACAAGATTAAGGTCTGAGGAGTTTATTGCTGTGAAAGGGGGAAAGAGTTTATTTGCTGGCCAGAGTTGAATGATTGCTGGAGATCACAGACATTCTGAATTGCAAGATTAAGGTCTGAGGAGTTTATTGCTGTGAAAGGGAGAAAGAGCTTATTTGCTAGACGGAGTTGAGTGATTGCTGGAGATCACAGACATTCTGAATTGCTAGATTAAGGTCTGAGCGACGCGAACGCTTTGAGACATTCGAGGTTCAAATTGCTAACGTAATGTACAAGCTACCCTTTCAAAGTATGTTATAGACGAAGTGTAGTGCAAAATGGCTACCCCACCCCTCAGACTGGAACGTGCTAGGGTTTCGCGGTAGTATGGGTACTACCTGCTCTGGTAAATACTGTATTTGTAACTACAATTTTTTTTTATTGCTTAGATGGATGGACGAGCTCACAACTCAGTGTTAAGTGGTTACCG